GAGACGCGCCTCCGTTCAGGAAGTCCATTCCATAGTTTGAAGCCAACATGCAGCGCAACCACAGACATGCATGGATCGGAAATATCGGCAGGTTGGATCGGAAAATCAGAGACGTAAATTGTGCTGGTATCGGAGCCCGATACAGATACTGGATCGGATCAGCCCCATCCCTATTTGGAACCAAACACCCACAATAAACGAGGGGCTACTATACTCAAAAGTAGTAAATAAAATGGTTCCCCATTTTTTCTGATTCAGAAGCAAGCAGATTTTCTAATACCGGCACATCCTTGAAGCATTTGAACAAAGACCAAATAAAGTCACCCTTGAACCTATTTTTACATTGTCAGTGCCCTGAGATGACTTCTGTTGTGAGTTGGCGCTATATAAATAAACAGAATTGAATTGAAGATATTCTGGTCAGTGTAACAGTAACAAGCGAGTCAATTCCATCAATAGGGATTATTACAGCAGAGGGAGAAGCTAAAACACAGAGCAGTTGGTGAGAACTAAAATGTACCTAAGCAAGAGTGGGGGTCGGGGGTGTAAGAGGGTTAGGTTGAGTTGAGCCAAGAGTGGGGGGAAAGGCCAGAGTGAGGAAACATGGGTGTTGAGGAAGCAAATCAAGTCATTTGAGGTAAAGAGCTGGTGTAAATTTGCCTCTAGATGTGATGGTTTTGTCCTTTTTTCATCTCTAACTAAGAATTTTTAGATATCTAGCTGGTATTTTTAAACAATGAGGTAGAATTGCAATACTCACTGCTCAGATTAATCCATCTAAGCTAATGCATTATTTAAAGGTTCAGCTAATATATAATCAGCACCTTTTTCTAAAGCACATGGATTTGTTCTCTAGAGAGCAAAACGACCTTTATTATTGACAGCATACCATCAGCAACACAACCCCAAGACAATGAAACAAGTCATTGCAATGCAGCAAGCAAAACACTTTTCCCCAAGGTCAGTCACAGGTTTTCCAAGGCTGCGCAGGAAGTGCTAGCAACAACCAGCTGATGCAACTTCAATTTAAACTTAAAGGATTTTTAAAAAGCATAATTTGTAAATATTTGTGTAATACAAAACTAAAAGCAGTGTTTTTAAGATTGCAGTTGTTTTAAGATGCCAGCAATTTATTTTGATCTTAGTCTCGCTTGGGCTAGTCTTTAGCTCCTAACTCCTGTCAGAATTAAAGTTTATTTCAGCAAATTTGCCTTGTTCAAAGAGCTACAAACAACAAATACGATGTTAGTTCAAAACATCAAAGTTCATGCTCAATAATCCAGGTAGAGAAAACCCAACACAGTTTAGTCAGGTCATCTGGACGTTCTTTTTTTTTTTTTTTGAGACATTTCATCCTTTATCCAAAGGACTTCATCAATCTGAGGAGCCACAACAAACTGAGTCCCACAAACAGCAAACACACATATTGGACCAACTAGTTTGCTGGTGATAAGATGGTTTCTGGAGCCTGCCCTCTCTCCCGTTGACTCCTCTGAGGCAGCCATAGTCAAAGTGGTTCAAAACATCAATGTTCATGCTCATGCTCAACCACTTTTGCAGTGGTTGAGCATCCCACCCCCATCTAGGATTATCTGATCATATCTCCATCTTCCTGGCTCTTGCTTACCTCCCCCTACTATGCTCCAGACTGGTACAAAAGAAAGTTGAATCTTGGATGCAGAATAGTGGCCCCATACTGAAAGGCTGTTCCGCATGCACAGACTGGCAGGTCTTCAGAGAAACTGCTGAAAATGAGGGGGAGCTAAACCTGGAGGAATACACATCCTCAGTCCTGGGGTACATTAGTAAATGCGCTGATGAAGTCACCACCATCAGATATGTTAAGAGTTACCCAAACAGGAAGCCTTCGCTGAATGCAGGAAACTCACAGGAGCTGAGAAGGACAAGGAAAGAGCTGGTTGCTGGTATTAAGAGGGCCAAGGCTACATATACACAGAGGATCCAGGGTCAATTCACCTCACAAGACCCACAGAACATGTGGCGGGGTAATAAATGCATAACATATTATAAAGGCAGAAGTGAGCAATGCCTTAGAGACCCATTACTGCCTGATGCCCTCAACAAGTTATATGCATGCTTTGAAGACCCGAACAGACCACTCAGCACCAGACTCACCTCACCACCAGAAGAAGAGCTTCTCAGCGTGACCTCAGGAGCAGTGAGGAGTACTTTCAGGAGGATTAACCCTCACAAAGCAACCGGCTCAGAAAACATCCCAGGGAAGTTACTGAAAGACTGTGCCGGTCAGCTCTGCGAGGTGCTGGCAGACATCTTTAACTCCTCAATTACCCTGGCAACAGTTCCAACCTGCCTGAAGACCGCTACCATCATCCCAGTCCCAAAGAGCTCTACGGTGACTGCTCTGAATGACACCTGGCCAGTAGCCCTCACCCCGATAGTCACTAAATGCTTCGAAAAACTGGTCATGACCCACATCAAAACAACCATTAACATCAACGAGGACCCTCACCAGTACGCATACCATGAGAATCGATCAACAGAAGAGCAGGATTCCTATGTCCTTATGCTCTTTATGGACTTCATGTCTGCCTCCAATACCATGATCCCCCAAACCCTGATGGACAAACTACTCACACTAGGACTAAGCCCCTCCATTTGCAACTGGGTCCTAGACTTCAAAACAAACAGACCACAGTCTGTGAGAATCCACAACTTCTCCTGCTCCACCATAACCATCAGCACTGGCTCCCCCCAGGGCTGTGTGCTGAGCCCTCTCCTGTTCACTTTGCTCATGTATGACTGTGCACCTACCCATCCAGGATGTCACATTGCAAAGTTTGCAGATGATACAGTGGTGGTGGGATGCATCACAAACAATGATGAGTCCAAAAGCAGCAAGCAGGAGGTGGAAAACACGGAGAGCTGGAGCAGGAAGAACAACCTTCACATCAATGTAAAGAAGAGGAAGGAGATGGCCGTGGACTTCAGAAGGAATAAACACACCTATCTCCCCCCTGAACATAGGAGGATCTGCGGTGGAAGTGGTCTCCAGCTACATGTACTTGGGTGTGCACCTGAAAGACAACCTCAGCTGGGGCAACAACACCACCAGCCTGATCAAGAAAGCTCATCAGAGACTCTACTTCCTCATGTGGCTGAGGCGAGCTGGTCTGGGAAGCTCAATCCTCACCTCTTTCTACAGGTGTGCAGTGGAGAGCATCCTGTGCTCCAACATGAACGTGTGACATGGAGGTTGCACAGCTGCAGAATGAAAAGCTTTGCAGAGAGTGGTGAAGGCTGCACAGAAGTCTGTTGGGGTCAGCCTCCCCACCATCACAGACATCTACACCTGCAGATGCAGGAAGAGGGCCACCTGCATCATGAAGGATCCCACTCACCCAGCATACACACTTTTTGTCCCGCTTCCCTCAGGAAGGAGGTTGAGGAGCATTAAGTGAAGAACTACTAGACTGAGGAACAGCTTCTACTCTGAGGATGTTAGACTCATGTATCTCTAACCAGGATAATTAATGCGAAGAATCACATCATGTTGCTGCTGATCTGTTTCATGTTGCTGTGTTCATTTGTACTCATCTGCTCACACAGACTCATGTTCGTGATGCTGTTCAGCGTATTGTTTCTATGCTAATGCTACTAGTGCTTAGTGTGTTTTCAGTTAATGCTTTTCTTAGTTCATATCTTAGATCTTATTTCTGTTTTTCTTTTATATTCTAATACTTTGTTGGATGTAACTGGGACCCTGTGTACACAATTTCATTCCACCACATGCACCACATGTGGTGCGAATGACAAATAAAGAATCTTGAATGTTTTGAACCACTATGGCTGTCTCAGAGTAGTCGACGGGAGAGAGGGCAGGCCCCAGAAACCACCTCATCACCAGCAAAGTAGTTGGTCCTCTATGTGGGTTTGCTGCTTGTGGGACTAAGTTTGTTGTGCTCCTCGGACTGATGAAGTACTTTGGATGAAGGACGAAACCTCAAAAAAAAAAAAAGGAACTGTCCAGATGACCTGACTGAACTTTGTTGGAGTTATTCAAAACCATTCCATATAAGCCCAGAGATGAGAGAAGAGAAAGCAGCTGAGCCAACATACAGTGGTACTCTGACACTACAGGGATGCTGAGGCTTCACAATGACCCTGCTGTCATGGATTCAGGAAACATGCCATTGAACCCTCTGAGTGCTTAGTTTTTACCCTAAACACAAGTGGGTCAGTGTAATTCTGTAAAAATATCCTGTATAAGCCTTATTGATCCTCAAAGATTATTTAAATGAATATTTACATAAATACTGTTCGTGACCTGGCTCAAGCGTTAAAGGAAAAGTGCTAAAACATAATCCTGGTAATCCTAAATCTGTGAACCAGTGCCATGCACAGCTGCTAAGGTGTTACATAACTATTATAGGCATTAGCAGCAAAAAGCTAAGATTTTAATCTTGGTTGCTGTGCTGAAACATAAAAATTTTGTACCATCAAGACAATTTTTAAGCATTTTTAGAACCGGACAAGTAGTATAGCATGGTTACACATTCTTGTTAGAATTTTCTTTTATTTATCTTAATTGATAGAGAACAAAAGGTTGGCAGTGAAAGAACTCAAGCTGGATATTGAAAATACCTGGTTGGATACAAAGATAATATTAAGTATGGTATGACGATCAGGTAAGTCAATGATAAAAACATTTTAGCTACAAGTTCCTTTATGAATTGTGTAATAAGTATTATTTAAGGTCTTTTTCACAAAGTCACAATCACATGCAATCACATCACATGTTGACAAATCTCAGTTGGGCTTATTTCTTGATTCTGTGTACAACTTGGACTTCTGACTATGCAGGCTTAACTTTCCGGTCAGAGGTCAATGCAGGAAATAAACCCCTTTTGGCAGAAATTTGTTATAAACTAACATCTGTTGGCAATTCCACACCAGCATCTAAAAGTTGTCACACCAGCCATTTCAGCAAGAGCATCTTACCACAGGACTCAGGCTTCCCCTCTGCTACCACACTGCTGTTGTCACTCTTCTGCACCACCAAAGATTCTGCCCACAGCCCCCACCAGAGAGCACAGCAGCGCACAAACGCATAAACACAGATAAACAAAAAACAACATACATGGAAAGGAAACACAAAACAGGAAAGAGAAAATCATAAAGGAGAAACAATCATGGGAGAAGAAAAATTAAAACGAACACAAAAGCAGATTAATAAAACATTTGGGTTTGGATTAAAAAAAAAAACATGTAATTACGGTAGATTATATGAAAAATATTTTGTTTAATAAAGCAAATATTAAGTGTAATGCACTTTAATTGGTAATTGGGCTTTTTAATGTTTTAATTTATTATTTTAGAAAGATAAATCCCCAAATTCAGTTTTAACTAGGAATGTACCAAATGACATGGAGGTGAAACAATTTAAAATTTTCAAATATACATGAAAATCCTTGTTTGGTCTGTGAATGAATCATAGCTATGTAGGTAAAGAGAGTTAATAGTAGCAGGTCTTCATTGTGAAAGATTTGTCTATAAAGGTTGCTACTTTACTTCTCATGTAACATACGGGCTAAAGTTTTATTTACAGTACCAGCTGCCATTAAACAGGTGGTATATTTTAGTCTGGCTCAGTTTGAGACACCTAAAATTTGCAAACAGGGAACAAACCCAAACTGTTTTCTGCATGGATGTCGGCACCCAGAGTTAAATTAGATTTAACAACATAACAGATCTAACAGTAAATCTAACTTTATTTTCTTTAAAATATTGTGTTGAAAACTGCCACAATTTATTTTAAGTAAAAGAAAAGTAGAAAAGTGTTTGTCATATCTGCAGGAGCATGTTTTTATTTTAGGATGTGCAGAAACACCATAAACCTAACGCCATAATGTACAGTATATGTTTTGGTTATTAAAAAGGATAAACTACATTTAGATTATTGGTAGATATTTGCACAAATATTGCTGTCTATAAACTTCATTATTTTTGTTTTTAGATTTTCAGTGACAGAAAGCATTTAGAGAAAAACAGAAGAAAAAATATATAATATATACAATATAATGTTTAATTATGAATAGTCACATTTTTTATTTAACTATAAAATGTAAACATCTTCTATGATTTACCATAAATGAATGACCTCATGTCAGGACCTCATGGTGGGTCATGAAAAAACTAGTGGGAGATTTTGAGATGGTTATTGATTTTTTAAATCCTTTTATAGTCGTTTATGATGTTCTATCATTTAGCCACATTTTCTTGTTTATGTTTGTTTACTTTAAACAGCAAGTGTTAGCGTTGAGAGTCTCTGGTGCTTTTTTTTTAATATCAGAAAGTGAAATGTTTGGAAACCACTGCTTTAGATTAGAAAGCCACTGGAATCGGCAGATCAATCAGTCTAGAAAACAATAAATCAGTGGATGTTTCCACACCGTACTTTTCTGAAGTGTCTGACTACTACTGTCTATTCCTGTGTAACCAAACCACTTCAAAATAATAATAAATAAGATGAAATCAGGAAAATTCAACTTAAGACTGCTACAGTTCATGCAAACATGCAGAAAAGAAAATGCCACAAAAACATACACTCTTCAATCAGACTATACTGCAGGACAAACAGCAAACACAGAAAAAACGGTAAATAAAAGAGTCTACAAAATTAAATGAAATTATAGATATAGATTAAGGTTAACAGAAAAAGCTTTAGTCCCCTTAGAAATAGATTTTATTTACTCAATTATAAACATAATATGTATGTTTCTCTTGTTGCCTTGTTTATTTTTGTAATTAATTCAGCAAGCATAAATACCAAACCACAACTTTAGGGTGGTGCACCTGAAAAAAAATATAGGTGGTGTAAAAAGTGAGACTGCAGCCCTGCAGTTATACAGAAAGCATCACACATGTAATTAACCCAACATATGTACACCAAATCTGTTGTGTTTGACAATCTGTGCGTTTTAGAAAGAAGAGAGAAGTGAGAGAGAGCAACATATGAAGCAGCCAAACGAGCTTGCAGATACAGAAAGAATAAATTGACACTGTGTTATAGGCACTGCAGAATAGCACATGTCAAAAAGGAAAAGGGACATAATCCTGATAAATTACCTGTCGGGTCAAACTCATTGGAGGGAGGCGAGGTTTTATCACTTTTGGGTTTCTTGTCTGGTGGATGGTCTTTACTGAGAATGCTGCTGGTTCTAAAGAAAAAAAGAACATGTGTGAGACATGCATGTAACAAAACAGCATAAATCCAGAAAGAGTTGACTGTGTACAGCAGTAGACAGAAGGACATTTTTCAGGTTGTCCAGCAGACAACCTCTTGACAGAATCTGGTTGTCCGCCAAAATTTTAGGTTAGCCACAACCTTTACAACAAAGAAGGCAAAAAAATTAAGAAAATGTAATTTAATAAGTTTATCTAACTATATACAAAGTTTACTTTATACAAATGTTCTCAGTCAGCCATTTTTGTCGACTGCTACGAATTTCCAAGCTACTGAGTGGCAGACTCTTTCGGGAGCTGCTCGAGTAGAAGAACTTCCTCGTTCTTTTCCTCATCTTCTTCCTCATCATCAGACTTTGCAAGAGAGGCACTCGGAGTGGCAAGGATTAAAGAAGAAAAAAAATATTTTGACAGAAATTGTTTTCTACACCCAAGCACACACCCCCCACCCCCACCAATGTCACACAATCAAGAACTTGTTCCTGCATACAGATCACTTCTTATAGATTTTCACATAAAGTGGGGTATATTGTGTACATGACCTTAGTAAAAGTACACAGTATCGTGTTCTCTAATGAATTGTTGAAGTTGTAAGACTTAGACCTATGGAATTCTGAAAGAAGAGAGTGGGTTTGAACAACTTTTATGTTGTCTGCCTTTATGTCATTTCAGTGTTTTCAAGTGAAGAGTTGTCAGATTTTTTTAATTACAGTAAAGCATCCTTAGTAGAGAATAAATTACCTTTTTTGGCCAGACTGGCAGATTTTTCCCCAAAAATGATTATTTCATTTAAAGGGATTATATTTACAGCTCAAGTCGTCATTGAACACTATATATTTTTCATTTTTGAGCTTTTATTAAATTACATATATCACAGTACAGTTACCTCACAGTATGGTTTTAAATATAATCAAGTTCAGCTCATCCAAACAGCCATAACTTTTTATTGCTAAAACACTGTACAGGATTAAACTTTACAGATATTTTTGAACAATTACAAACATCTGAAATTGACTCTCGCACAGAGAACTTTGAAAATTTAAAGTAAAAAATTTAAGTCAAAAAGAGACTCACATCTTTGCTATAATCTGGGACATATAAATATATGTCTTTCAGCGTTAAAATTGTTTATTTGTAAGAACTACAGCAGCAGATACAGCCTCCTCTCTCAAAGTGAGAAACACAGGCTGAGCACGCAGCGTCGCTCTCCTGTGGCGGCGCTCTCTCTGAGACCTAGAGTTTGGTCACGAGTGCATGTTGTACATGTCTGTACGATGATGATGATGCTCCGAACACATTAATGTTTGATACAACATTAGATTTTAGATACAAAAGTACTGAGGAGATTGTAGCACGGTGCAGCCCGTCTCTAAATTGGGAACACTGCGCACATCCGAGGTATCAGACAGCACAACCCGCCCTGCTCTGTTCTGAGCAGGTATAAATGTAGTTCTGGTTCTCTTTATTTGTTGAAAGCAGTGTCATTTTAATCCCTGTATCATTAGATTGGATGACTTAAAAAATAATAATAAAATAAAAAGACCACAAGAAAACATTTTTTCCCTCCGATTATTGAGCATGCATCAGGATATTTTTTTCCCTCCCTTTCATTTTTATAGATTTTTACAAAATCCACTGCAGTGACGGAGAACTTTAATTTGTGTCTATTTCATTTGGTTGTACCAAACAACCTCAAAGTCATCTTAGTCAAAGACCACAAGGAGGGAAACGTATCAGGAGACAGAGGGATAAGAGGAAAGTCAAGAATGTAGGACTGAGGGTAGCAACTCTAAATGTGGGGACAATGACAGGCTAAGGGAGAAAGCTGGCTGACGGAATGCAGAGAAGGAAGGTAGATGTTTTAGGTGTCCAAGAGACCAAGTGGAAGGGCAGCAAGACTCACAGCATTGGAGCAGGGATTAAACTGTTTTACCATGGTGTGGATAGAAAGGAAAATGGAGTAGGGGTGGTCCTGAAGTACAAGTTGGCAAAGAATACAGTAGAGGTGAAAAGAGTGTCAGATAGGGTGATGTCTCTGCAGGCAGAAGTAGAAGGTCTGACGCTGAATGCTGTCAGTGGTTATGCTTCACAGGTTAGATGTGACAGAGGAGAAATAAAAACTTCGGAAGGACCTGGATGAAGAAATAGAGAGTATTTATATGGAGGACAAAGTGGTGATCAAAGCAGACCTGAATGGACACGTTGCTGAAGGAAACAGAGGGACGAGAAAGTGACGGGTAGGTCTGATGTCAAGAAAAGAAACCAGGAAGGACAGATGGTGGTAGATTTTACCAAGAGAATGGAAATGGTTGTAGCCAACACTTATTTGCAAAAGAGGGAAGAACATAGAGTGGCCTACGAGTGGAGGAAGGAGTACAAAGGTAGATCACATTCTGTGTAGAAAAAGAAACCTGAGAGACATTGGGGACTGTAAGGTTGTGGCAGGGAAGAGCATGGCTAGACAGCATCGAATGGTTGTGTGTAGAATGACTGTCGTGAAGAAGAGACAAAGAGTAAAATTAGAGAAGAAGACCAAATGGTGGAAGCTGAAGACGGAAGAATGTTGTGAGAAATTCAGAGAGGAGCTGTTAAAAGCTCTGGGTGGTAAGAAAGAGAATCCAAATGGCTGGGCTACTACAGCAACAGTAATTAAGAGAGAGACAGGTAACAAGGCACTTGGTGCATCATCTGGACAGACAATGGATTATACAGAAACCTGGTGGTGGAATGGTGAAGTGAAAGAAGCTATTCAAAGAAAGAGGTTAGTCAAGAAGAAATAGGACAGTGAGAGGACTGAAGAGAGGAGACAGGAATATAAGAAGATGTAACATAGAACAAAAAAGGAGGTAGCAAAGGCAATTCAGAAAGCATATGATGAGTTGTATGGGAGGTTGGACACTAAAGAGGGCGAGAAGGACTTGCACCCATTGGCAAGACAGAGGGATCAGGCTGGAAAGGATGTGCGGTATGTTAGGCTTGTTAAAGATAGAAATGGAAAAGTTCTAACAAGTGAGGAAAGTGTGATGGGAAGATGGAAGGAGTACTTTGAGGAGCTAATTAATGAAGATAATGAAAAAGAAAGAAGAGTAGAGGTAATAGAAACTGTGGAACAGGAAGTGGGAAAAAATAGTGAGGGTGAAGTCCAGAAAGCTCTGAAAAAAAATGAAGATGGGTAAGGCAGTAGGACCTGATGACATACCAGTGGAGGTCTGGCAGTGAGGTTTTTGACTCAAACATTCAATGACATATTTCAGGGTGAGAAAATGCCAGAGGAACGGAGAATAAATTTGCTGGTGCCCATTTTTATGGACAAGGGTGATGTACAGAGTTGTAGCAACTACAGGGGAATTAAGTTGATGAGTCACACAGTGAAGATCTGGGAGAGAGTTATGGAAGCTAGACTTAGATGAGAGGTGACAATTTGTGAGCAGCAGTATAGTTTCATACCAAGAAAGAGTGCCACAGACGCCATCTTTGCTCTGAGGACGCTGATGGAGAAGTACAGAGAGGGTCAGAAAGAACTCCATTGAGTATTTGAAGATATAGAAAAAGCATACGACAGGGTGCCGACATGAGGTGTGGTATTGCATTAGGAAATCTGGAGTGGCACAGAAGTTTGTTAGGCTGGTACAGGACATGTATAAGGACAGCAGGACAGTGGTGAGATGTGTTGTAGGAGTGACAGATAGCTTCAAAGTGGAGGTGGGATTGCATTAAGGATCGACTCTGAGCTCCTTCTTGTTTGCTCTGGTGATGGACCAATTAACAGATGAGGTCAGGCAGGAATCCCCATGGACTATGATGTCTGCAGATGGCATTGTGATCTGTGGTGAGAGCAGGGAACAGGTGGAAAGAGAGGCAGAGGTATGCACTTGAAAGAAGAGGAACGAAAGTCAGCCATAGTAAAACAGAGTACATGTGTGTGGACGAGAGGGAGGCCGGTGGAACAGTGAGGCTACGAGTGTGACAAAAGAATGGCAGCAAAGGTCAAAGGAAAAGTTTACAAGACAGTTGTGAGACCATCTGTTTTGTATGGTATGGAGACAGTGGCACTGACAATAAGACATTAGAAAGAACAAGATGTAGCAGAAATAAAGATGTTGAAGTTATCCTTAGGAGTGACAAGAATAGATAAGATGAGGAATGAGATCACCAGAGGTAGAGCACAGGTTGAACAACTGGAAGATAAAGTTAGAGCAGCCAGACTGAGATGGTTTGAACATGTCCAGAGCAGGAACAGTGGGTGTATTGGTAGAAGGATGTTAGAAATGCAGCTGCCAGGAAAAAAAAAACAAAGAGGAAGGCCAAAGAGGAGAAATATGGATCCGCAGAGAGGACATGGAGCTGGAGTGATGCCAGAGGATGCAGAAGACAGAGTGAGGTGGAGGAGGATGACTCAGACAAACAGAGTTTGTTAACATATTCCCTGGTTAATCTATCCCAATGTCCTTTCTGTACATAGCATATTTTGTACATCACATCATTGTAATCCATGCACGTTAATGTAATATTGCTCGGCATAAATGCAATTTTCTGATAGGTGAAAATATGTTTACATTTTTAAGCAAGAAAGAACCATCCATCCATTATCTTTACCCGTTTATTCCATTTTGGGTCACGGGGGTCGCTGGTGCCCATGTCCAGCAATCACTGTGCGAGGGGTGGGGTACACCCTGGACGGGTCGCAAGTCCATCACAGGGCCACATGGAGACAAACGAGACAAACAAACATTCACTCTCTCACTCACACCTATGGACAATTTAGAGTTACCAATCAGCCTAACATGCATGTTTTTGGTCTGTGGGAGGAAACCGGAGTACCCGGAGAAAACCCACGCATGCACGGAGAGAACATGCAAACTCCACCCAGAAAGGCCCCTGGACCGGGGTTTGAACCAAGGACCTTCTCGCTGAGAGGCAGCAGCTCTACCAGTTGCGCCACCGTGCTGCCCAAGAAAGGACCAATAAATGTTAATTTCAACTCTGGGAATAATGTTGAAAAGACTTTCTAGAGATTGAATCATGCTCTGTGTGCCTACTGTATAATGTAACAAGCAGAGAATGTGGAGCCGCTCTGCTGAGTGTCCAGAGACCAAGACGCTCCTCAGTGAAGATGCCACGAGGCCAAACTACGACTTGAACCTTCGGACACTATGTATGGCTGCTTCTGCCTATACTGGCTCTAACTGTGAGAGGCCACTGTTCTGTTCACAGTGAAAAGCAGTAATGGGCCATCCAAAGAAGAGGGGCTTCTTTGTCCAATGCTCTGTGTGTATGTGTGTCCCTGTCTGAGTGGGGGTTGGTGGGGTATGTTTGGTCAAAATGCTGAAAATGTCTGTTGCAGCACAGTAATCCTAGTGACACCTACCAAATTTGAACTAGCATTCAAACTAGTATTGTTTTATGTGTAATTCCACAAAATAGACAAATAAAAATGTACAAAAATAAAGATTCTTACCTGATTGCTTTCTTGTTAAACCTGCAAAATTAAAGAAAACGGTAGTAAGATATTTTGATTAATGCCCTAATGAAGTTTTAATAAACTGGAGCATATAAAGGCTGTGCTGTCTATGCTATGTAGAATGGAAAACAAGAGACCATGATAGCAGCTCTTCTTGAGACCCATATAGTGGTAAACATAATAATCCTGATCAAACAACTGAGTTCTTCAGCTGCAGATTAAAGCTTTTCCAGGTCAACTGTCTTCTGTCTCTCAGATTCAATCATTGTGTGTGTGGGTGGACGGGTGTGCATGTGTTCATATATAAGTAAGTACTGGTAGTAAGTGCAATGTGTTGTCATCATTGTCCATACAATGACAAAATTAAACAATGTTCAGTCAGGTCAGCTGGAATTTTTTTTTTTTTTTTTTTTTGCTGAGATGTTTCGTCCTTCATCCAAAGGACTTCTTCAATCTGAGGAGCCAGCCACCAAACAAACTGGTTCCAATAAACAGCATACACCATAGTGGGGAAAAAAAAAAACGCATAAAAGAAACTGTCCAGATGACCTGACTGAACATTGTTGGATTTTTACCTGGATTATTGAGCATGAACTTTGGTGAATGAAGAAATTAGTTCTCTGTATTTAACCCATCACAACTGAAATGCACGCAGGTGGAGCAGGGTGTGTTGCAATTAAATCATTCACATACATCTCAACTTCAGTGAATTAATCATATACACTGAACAAAAATTTAAATGCAGCACTTTTGTTTTTGCTCCCATTTTCCAAGAGCTGAACTCAAAAAGCTCAAACTTTTTCTATGTGCACAAAAAAACTGTTTTATCTCAAATATTGTTCAAACTTGTTGATTACAGTATTTGATTGTCAGATATGATAACAATGTCTGGACATTTAGAGAACTGACTTGCTTGAATAAAAATATGAAGGAAAATCTTGTGAGTAAAAATATGGTAAATGGACTGTACTTATATAGCGCCTTTCTATCTTATTTCAAGATACTCAAAGTGCTTTACACTACAATCTGTGCCTTATTTACCCATTCATACAGCACTCTACTAGATCTCTACAAAGCTAATTGAACACATCATTCTAATGAGACTAATCAGTGCTTTTAGATCACATTCATACACTGATAGGACACACATCAGAGGCTATGAGGGGTTCAGTGTCTTGCCCAGGGACACTTCAGAATGTGACTGCTGATGGATTCGAACACCCAACTCTCGCATTGGAGGACGACTGCTCTAACCACTCAGCCACAGCCGCCCCCAAAAATATAAGGAAATCAATCAGTGACTCAGTCAATCAATCAATCAAGCCAGCCAGCTACCTATTTAGGAACCAATTTACAGAGGAATGTCTGTGCAGAGATATGGAGAGCAATCCAATACAGCATTACCAGAAGATGCTACCAAGCCAGCAAAGAAGAACAACAGCAAAGAATGCTGTGTTGTGTGATTTTACTGTGAGACCTTCTCTGGTCAAAGCCACAGAGGAAACAGGTCGCCATTTGGTGTCAGCTCTCCTTAAAGCGGAAGGAGATGCCCACTAGAGGGATGGAGGGTTAAGTGCTTTCAGTGTAAAATGCTGCTCTGTTGCTGTTCATTTCTTAAGTGAGAATACTGGAAACTGTTGAGTTAACAACATATTTTTTTGTTTAAAACATATGGCTAAAACTGCATTTGGTATATTTTGCACTGTTCTGCCCTACAACAAAGAAGCCTAATACATGATTTGTTAATTATTTAAAAACTCTCTGGACCTAGTAGTGGAATTTTCTGAGTTGAGATTATTTTGTGGTATTGCGGCTTTCAAAATAAATGATGGCAAATGGACACCCTATGTTTTTATTTTTCATTCCTATTGCAAGTTTTATTTCAAAAATATATTGTGATATATATCGTTACCATCACAATACATATTGTGAAAAGAATTTTATGCCATATCGCGCATCCCTACCAATCAGCATGCATGTTTTTGATATGTAGGAGGAAACCAGAGTACCTGAAAAAAAAAACATGCATGCACGGAGAGAACATGCAAACTCCACCCAGAAATGCCCCCAGCCGGGATTTGATCCAGTGTCAAAACTCACTGAGAGCCAACAGCTCTACCAAGTGAGCCACCATGCCACCGCAATTAAAACAGATCAAATTATACTAAATTTGAAACAGAATATCACAATTTCTAAGAAATAAATCAATAGTAGGGAAATATTTCACTAAAGATGAATCTTATGGTTCAACTACCGTAAGGAAACAGAAAATGAATCAACTTCCTGACTGTTTGGAGCTCGTTGAGAACCGGTGTTACACCATATTCTGTGACCACTGTATATTCTGACCATAGGGGGTGATGTTGCATGCACTGTTGCAGGTCACAGAATATGGTGTAACACCGGGTCCAATCGACCGAACCAGAACCAGCTTCCTCTGACCTTGTTTCACAAACAAAAAGCAAAAAATATTAATCTCTAAACCTATAAAAAAAAACATATAAATCTCTAAAACTAAACCTAATGCGCACCACTGGGGGCGGTGGTGCCGGGTTGTTGTCCGCCCCACTGTTTTTAGTTTTGTTTTTGAAGTGCTGCACGTTTCTTTCACTTTTGCAGCTTAATAATAATAACTAATAGTTTAGTTTTTCCTTTGACTTATTTGCAGTATGATAAATGGTAGGAGCATAATATATGCTCCCAATATTTTTTTATTTTTTTTTGTCAATAATGACCTTTTTTGCGGTTTTATTTATTTATTTATTTTTGTATCTTTAGATCCTATGATGTCATCAAGTACTCAAGTTCTACTTGAGTTTTATTATGTTAATGTCGAGTTTAAAAATTATGTAGTCGTTCCCTACTTGAAACGTTTCGTCATCATACGTGTAAATTGCATTACCCTTATTTCGTTACACGAGCTCCATGAGTTTGTCTTGACCACATCATACTGTACTTCTATCACAAAATACTCTCTGCACCATATAACTTTATGTAGTAACCAAAGAGACTATCCTAAGAAAACCTGCTTTCATAAACCTGAGTAAGCAGTGACTATTCTATAAATCAACTATACCCAGATAAACTGTTATAAAATATTGAAAGTACAATTTACTTGTTGAATACAACATATTGACAACTGTGTAAATTCCCTTACCATGAAAAAAACAAAAGATAATTTAGAAATGAATGTAATTAATTGTATCACTAAATGAACTACTATTCCTTCCTAATGAAAAAAAGTTATGAAGTCATCCCACAGTCTGTACACCCACAGCACAGAAGCAGCAACATCTGCACATAGCCAGTGTGAGATGACAGGAATCACTCATCGAGAGACCAGATTAATGAGATCAACTACAAGCTCTGAGAACTGATAACAAGATGTCTGCTGATATCATTTACATATTAAAATACTCAAATCGTCACATCATAAGTTTCACACACCATCAAATACACACACATAAAAAAACAGAAAGTACAACCTAATCTATAGACCCACTTTTTCTAAACATAACTTTGCTGAAATTATTCTATGAATTGTGGTTTTACCTAGCACATTTTTCTTATTTATTTAATAATATGAAGGACATGTTCAATGCACAGAGTTAACTTGTCCACTGTATTTGCAATGAAAAAGACAAGAGTCAAATAAAAACCATTAGGGACAATTATAGCAGGTATGATAACTAGATCGAAGAGTTGCATTTAAGATGTTAATGTAACCTCATTTTTATTCTAATTTAATATGAGAGCCACATTTAAAATATTTGGTAGGGAGCAAATAAATGTTTACAAGGGCCATATTTGGTCTGTGGGCCTTGAGTTTGACATTACTCTAAACTATATGAACTAATAGAATCAATAACTGGGCTCACAGTTATAATGTAGAAAAGAGGTGGGAGAGGAATAACATTTAGATTGAACATTATAAACAGAGTAAACATCAGCCAAGTAGAGAAAACAAAAATAATAATAAAAAGTAGACAAATATGAAACGCATTGTGTCTAGACGCCTTGTTGGAATAATCTAAGTGCTTTTTAAATAGCACTTTACTTTATCTGTGAATAATAACCCTACAATGTTTGAGAGATCTGAGTGTCCAACGGATCCCAGGAGCTAGATGCATTTTGCTTCTGATAGGGTCTTCTACAGAAAAATGGTTCTGTGTTAGGGGTCAGACAACGTGTGACTGAGAAAACACTGTAGCAGATTGGTTTTTGGGAGTGTGTGGGAGAGGCATGTGCGTTGTATTTACAATATGCGTAAAAGATACAGGGCTCAAACAAAATAAGACAAACCTTCAGGGGTCATAAATTAAATAACTACAAACACAATCTCTTAAATGGGCATACAAGGTCACAGAGCACAAACAACCACAGTGCAGATGTATACTGACACACAACTACCTGAATTCACTGTATGAAATCATTTTCCTTTCTAAAGATAAATGATAAATTATGTACACTTGTAAAGCACCTTTTCAGTCTCCATTAGTTTGATAGTGCTGTTTGAAGTGCTTCTTATCAGCTTTTACAGCACATAAACAACCATACAGTGCTACTTATCTTAGCACGCTATATATAGGGCAGCACACAATGAGACAAGGTAAAATAGGGGTCAAACCTTAAATGTCCAACTCATAAAGCTTCTCTCTCTTGTCAAAGTTGCCTTTTAACAAAAGGTTATTAAGGGGAGTGCACAGTCAGCATTACTTCTTTATTTAGGAGGAACAAACCGTTTTGTGATCTAATATTTGACTTATAAAACAGGCCTTTTTACAACTTGAAATGCAATTTCAAATTTAACTGCAGCCATTTGGTTGACATTTATAATTTTTTGTGATTTTTTTTAATGCAGCTGAAGTGCAAAATGTTGATTTAGAGTTTAACAAAAATTCTTGGAGTCAAGATATAGTTACACTTTCTTTGAGTAGACATCTCATTTAATTTTAAGGTATGCTTGATATCACTGCTGTACTTATATGCTTTTGTTTAAAAAATCTCTGAAGTAGAAA